ATCTTATTATCTATTTCTTGTACTCTTTATTCCCTTTCACGATTATGTATGTCATTTATGTTCATGTTATAAATATATTATGCTGGGTTAAGGTCATGTTTAACGGCTGCTTCGTAGTCACGTATTACTTTGTTACATGTTGCGTAATTTTGAGTGACGCTACGAAATTTTACGGATGAAAATAAATTCTATCAGTAGAGGTTCTTTCAATTAAAAAGATTAAAAAAATTTGTTCTTCGTGTTAATAAGTCTGAGAGAATAAGTTCGTAACTAAAAGTTACTACAAATTCAGATCTAATAAACCATAGATGATAAATTACGAATCATAGAAATAATTGTTTATAATAGTGACAATTTTGTCGAGCAGCAATAACTACTATTATATAATTTCTACTACTATTACTATTATGAGTGGAAGGTAAAATTCACAGGACCGGTTTACTATTTCTTTACATATTTATTAAAATATAAAAAAAAAACACGAGATCTTACATATCAGTAGGAAGGGAATATACACAGAAAAATACTCCATATTTATGAAAATAAATGCTCATATCATGAAATGAAAACGATATAACGATTTGTAATACGTACTACTGTTAGTATAACTTTTTTTTTTTCATTCGTTTTCATATTCGTTTTGCGGTCTTCGAACATCAGTAAGTATAACAGATCGATAATGTAAAATGCTACGATAGGAATTTAATCGTATTTGAACAACGAACAACAATGGTTATTATATTAAATAGGAATATCGCAAATGGTGAAATATCATGGATCCCTTTACTTCTCCCCATCCTCGTCCTCCTCTTCCTTCTTCTCTCCTTGCTTCTGCGGTTTCATTGACTTTGTCTGGATCGCCGGTTTGCCGGTATGTTCGATCTTGATTATTCTCTCGTTCGCTACCTTTGGTATATCTTTTCTTGGTGCGGTAATAATAAGTACACCGTCCGACGTGAGCTTCGATGCGACACTATCGATGTCACACTGCTCAGGTATCAGGTACTTCCTCACGAACTGACGTGAAACCCAGCCGTGCTCGTCGCGTTTCTCTTCATGCTTCGCTGCAACGACGACGAACTTGTCAACGACTTTTACATCAATCTCGTCTGGCTCGAACTGTTGAACATCGAGTACAACCTGGAACTCGTCCTTGTCTGCTTGTACGGTAGAGGTCCCGCCTTCGCTGTTACGAAGTAGTTGAGCCCACGGTCTATGGTACGAACACTTTCTTCGTGGTGGTTGGAGGTACAATTCCAGTCGGCTGGGCGATAGTAACTGCTCCGGTTTCAGAGCCAGTCCGAAATCCTGATCCAGGAGACGGTGCGGACGCTCTAAGGCCTCCCACCAGTTAGAATACAGCAACGGAATTAAGGACATTTTGCGACGATTTGACTTAAAAATATGAGAATGCTTTGTTTTCGTTCGATACAACAACGTGAAATTTGCTCGATTTTACGACCTTCTCGTCTTGACTGCTAGCGAGATACTGCGACCAGCCATTTCTGCCGGCCGCATTTATGGGTGAGTTTGCGCAGGTCGCGCCGTTTCACCAGACTTCGAGAATCGAGCGACTATTGAGCGAACATTCTACATACATATGTATGCATATGTATGGGTGCACCGTCGTTTATATGAAATTATTACGTATTAATATGTTTTCATTCAAACTATTCTTCTTTCTTATCTTCCTTTTTTGATATTTCAGTTTGCATATAATCCTTTGAAACTATTATTACAAATGATTTTTGAAAAAAGTGATTAAAACAGAGGAGGTACCGTGCATATCATTTCGTATTATAATCACCACAGATATGTACATTAAAATAAAGTTCTTAGTACCTGTTTATTTATAAATGGAGTCTACCACGTTGTGAACAAATATTACGAATATTTTGCGTATAATGTTTGTTTATTTGTTCATTAATCTTAAAGTGATTTTCTTTTAAATTTTCTTCTTAATATGTACATATGTTCACTGTAAAGAAATTTTTGAATAATATTTTTGGCGAATTCGACGTTTTGAACTTTCTAGAATAAAATGTGTGAACAGCTTCGTGAGACTTAAAAATTACGTCAGAATTCAATGTTAAACGTCTTTAGAAGTATTTAAAGCTACAATACAAGTAATATGTTTATATTTTTGCGTACAAAAATGATACAAATAATTGATATAATGCAATTATGGAACATTGGATTTAGAATATTTTAGGTGCGTTTGCAATGGAACATTATTTCAATTGATTGTCAATGTTGTGTAATAAAATTATTAATTTTCAATATAAGCGATTAAAAGTATACAATTATTATTAAAATATTACATAATGTAATTAACAATCTGAAAGTTTTATTATATTAAACATTATGTAGAAATATATCTACAGTAGTACGTAGTTACGTAGAAAGTGCGCGAACATTCGAAATAGCAGTTTTCCGTTCAAATGTGTTAGTTATCTCCGGGTTTGCCGCCATTACTATGGTAAAAGGGTTTTTCAAAATATTTCCAACTATTTATAACAGTATTTGCATTTTGATTAAACGTTACGTATTCTAATCATTATATTTATTCAAAAGCAAAATTTTCTATTGGCTATCTCTAGAAAATTTGATTTCCAGAAATTTCTACATGCTGCTGGATCGTTGTTACCCCCACTATGTTTTCGAGAAGTAGAGTATCCACACGCCGCAGCAGCCATTACGATAAAATTCGAAAGAAGCTCCGAGTGAAAGCGTTCGTTCGTGCAAGTTTTACTGTATTTAATGTGCAAAAGTGAGTAGTATTATACACCTAACAAATTTAAGAAGAAAGTAGAAGTTTAACTTAAAGAAATAATAAGTAGTTGAAGCAAGGAGGAAGCGAATTTGCCACGTATAACAGTTTTACGTTTTGCCAAGCGTTGAACAAATAAAAGAGGAACAATGTCTCTGCTTCCAATGTTATTCTCCAACTGGTGGGAGGATCTGGAGAAACCTCATCGTCTCTTCGATCAGCATTTTGGATTACCATTGAGTGCTGAAAATTTACCATCTGCTTTGGCTCCTCTGGATTCCGAAATTTTTGTGGTTAGACCTCGTCGTCGTCGTCTTCAGAGATATCAACCTTATGAAAGATCTGTAAATCCTGAATCCAGTGGTACATCTACAGTACAAGCCGATAAAAAGAAATTCCAAGTAACTTTGGATGTTCAACAATTTGATCCAGAAGAAGTTACTGTGAAAGTTGTTGGAAATAATGTGATGGTTGAAGGCAAACATGAAGAAAGACAAGATGAGCATGGATGGATCTCAAGACAATTTGCACGAAAATATCTTGTGCCAGAGCAATGTGACATTGAGCAGTTAAAATCAGATTTGTCATCTGATGGAGTTTTGACCATCACTGCACCAAGAAAGGAATCTGACTCACAACAACAGAACGAAAGAATCATCAAGATCCAAATGACTGGACTGCCTGCTATAAGGGATGATTCAAAGTCAGATGAGAAACAGCAGGAAGGTTCATCACAAAAGAGCCCTGTACAACAGAGAGCACAAGAACAGAAAGTTAAAGCTGCTTAAGAAGACTGATTTAAAATTCATTACATTATAGCAACAACTTCTCTGTTACAGTATTTTGTCATTTCATGTTTCATATATGACTAGCTTAAACCACTTTTATTTATTATAATTTTAGTTAACAGAACAGTTCAATGTTTTAGTTTCCATTTTTTCATTGTTCATATAAAATAGTTTAGATGAGTAATTTAGTTAAATCATTACTCTAAAAGCTATTACTGCAAGGATCTTCAAAATCATATATCACTAATTGTAAGTGATATATTCATTTAAATATAAAAACAATGATTACACATTGTTGTTTATTAGTCTTTATGTTATTTAAGATTGATTTGTGATACAATGCTTTTTTAATAAATGTACTGTCTTTGTATAATTTTAAATCTTTATTGACCACCCTTCTACCATAATTATGTTATAATTAGTGTAGAATTTCTATTTCAACATAGTTTCCTGGTAATAAATAGGTGCAGTAAAATTTATGAGATTGCTTTTATTAAAATTTTATTACAATTGTATATATGATAAAAAATATAAAAATGAACATTTGATGCTTAATATAAACTTAAAAAATAATTGTTTTCAATAATGGACGGAATTTTAATACGTTAAGATATTTGAAACAATAATATACATCTAAAATGTTAATTGACATGTAGTGCACAAAATGTTTTAAAGAAGTTTGCATAACACTCCTCCATACAAAAATAGAAATACTCTTTAATATATAAGTAGAGTTTTTGGATGGAATAAGTATCATATATGTTAAACATTTAGCAAAAGGATTCAATGCTATATTATGTTTACTACTATTACTTTTAACTATACATGTATAGTTAATTTCTTGGTTTGTAAAATGCTTTAAAAATTTACTACTTGTAATATAACTATTTACTTAAAATTTAAATCACATAAGGTAATTTCAGTGTTGGACTTTTTTAAATTCAAATTATTAATCAATTTATATTAATTTTCTGTTTAATTAAAATAAAGTAGTATAATAAAAAAAATTTGAGTTGAAGTCCATTGTAATTTAATTATATGCAAATTCAAGTAAATGCATTTGATTTACTTCTTTAAAAAATCCTAAGTAACTAAGAAACTATTTAATATTTGGTAAATGTTTTATATTGCAAATTGATGTACTGCAATACTTATAAATAATAATATCATTGAAATACCAATACCGGCAGCATTATTACACCTATGATCAAAGTAACAAAAGCACCATGTTACTTCATCATAGTAGTCTCTATGAATATCTAATTGCCAAATAGAATTGTTCACATAATGTCCTAATCGAACATCTTTAGCAGCTGGCCGACAGCCTTCATATCGATCAGCTGGAATGTCTGTTCTAAAGCTACGAACAGAGCTTAAACATTCCCTTGTTATCATGGTGTCAGCTGAAATATACGTAGTAACATAGTCAATATATTGGCAAATAATACTTGTAATACTTTCCCAATACTCAAGAGTAAGATATTGAAAAAAATTTACCTCCTTTTCGTTCAATAATTTTTACACATTTATCATCGTATTCTGGACAGGTTTCTCCCCAATACCATAACCAATTTAAAGGTGTGCCACACCCAGGGTGATTACTGTTACATCTGTAACAGTATAAACTCTCTCCTGAAAATACAATATACATTAAAATTTTTATAAAATAGCTCACATTAACCACGCCCTTCGCACTGAATTATTATTATACCTTTATTAACAAGTATACTTAATACGATGACAATAACAAACACTAGTTTATTCATTCTAATAATGTAATTGATACGACGATTTTCGGGTTACTTAAGAGTATAGTACTTTAGATTAATAAATCTACTTTGTTTATAAATCTATCTTTGTTACAAATATGTAACAAATCAAGTACAAATATTACTCATGCCACATGGATGACGCCAATAGTAATACTAAGTTTAGTGTTTTTATATGATACATTTTGTTAACTTGCGACATATCCTGATATCTTGTTAGTTCCCTAGGTTCCAAGACCCTAGAGACTTTATGTATAGTTTATGGTTGATATTTTTATTTTCAGTCTTACTAGCATTATAAATAATAACTTTTTAAAATAATAAATTATCGTGTAAGAAATTTTAATACATTGTGCAATTTATTTTACATAATTACTATCTTGTTTGATTTTTTTCTTTTTTATCGAATACATTCACACGTGTATCTACTGTCGATAAGAAGATATTATTTAAAAAATTTCTTTAATAATTCTTTATTTATTTCTCTATACAGAAAATACACTTATTTTATTTCAGTTTAACAGACTGTTCAAGTATTACGAACTCAAATGTTAGCCTACATTTTCTACATTAGGAATTGACGGTAAGTTAGTGAAAAAATTGCCTGTTAAGAGGCGTCCTCTGACGGACCATTAGATACTAACGCAAATCTCCCATTTCACAACGGTTTTTACACTTCTTTATGACTTATTTCATAGAAAATAAAATAACCGATTTTCGTACGCTTAATTTATTTTGTTTTAATTAAATGCATGTTTCTTCGTTAAAATTCAGAACCAACCAACTTTTTCCCTCGAAAACCAGTATATACAAAATTGTTTCTTTTAAAACATAGTCAAACATTGCAGAGAATTTTGTTCAAGTACGGAATAAAATAATTTATTTATAATTCATAATTGACAGATTTGTAAAAACAATTATAACAGTCCAGCCTGGCGTATATAGGCGAATTCATTGAAATGAAAAAAAGAAAAAAAAAGAGACCGGATGAATATTCATACTAAAGTTACAAATAACTTCCGCCTTTTTCAAATAGCAATTAATATGCAACAATTTTATGCGATAAGCATATCGATACACCTTTAGGCGAACTTCGCGAAAGCCGCTTTTCTACTTTGCCATGGCGTGCACCGCGCAAATTATTAAAAACATTTAAACGCAATAACTTCGCCGTGGTAGCGTGCGTATTGTTCATTGCAATCTCGTGAAATATAAAAATTTATTACGTTTACCCGCGAATTCAATTGAAAATTGCGTGCTTTCTCATTTTTCTCGACGGTATCGAGTGAATTATCAAATTATACAGACACACCGTTAACTCGACTTTCGATCGAAATGAACCTTCGATCAATTCTTGCACACGTGGTCAATTTTCTGACCACTTTTCGAGGCTGGTGAATACAAGTAAAAATTTATTTTCATTCGTCGTTACCGTTTTTTTGTCAGTCTTACTTTGTTACTTATTGCCAATGTTGCTATACATAAGTAACGATAAAAGGTAAAGTAATGTAACAGGTAAATCACTTTTATGTCGAGATCGATTTTATCGATTTTCACGACAAATATTCGGTTCAAGTGGACAGAAGTGTCGAGGGTATTGTTGAGTGGACGAAAGAATGCAATCACGATGCATTAATATATTTTCGAAGAGAATGAAAGTAAAAGGAAAAAGAAATATTAAAGAATTTTCATATTTCAGACGTTCAAATTCTAGCAGAAGATGTTCCTCAATAACTCCTCCATTTTGTAATATTTGTACTTTTTAAAAATTCAAGAGAAATGTTCAAAGTTACATTTATATCCTCCGAAAAAATGGAAACTTTTCATTCAGTAGTTACCATGGAAAAAATTTCCAAACTTTACCTCTTTTTAGTCGCCTTTACGCTATATAGGGTGGACCAAAAGTCAGATACTATTTACAGTTTATGATGAGTAAGATGAATATAGAGGAAGCGTGTGGCAATAGTTATTTGGCGAATTAACTTTCCGAATTCTGCTACACAAGCAGACATGTATGAATTTTCATTGATAATTTGACTCGTAGCATTCATGTCCACTTCCTGTTTCATCATGTACAGACCAGTTCGTTGAAATTTCTTCGCTAGTTCACGTATTGTCTTATTTTCTTTTCAAATTTATTTCTCATTTCGTTGCACTTCTTTTCTCGGATCCGCCAGATAACTATTGCTACACACTCCTCTGAATTCATCTCAACCCTTTCATTGCGACGAATTTCAATACGTAACGCATGTGGGCAGACTGGAAATTTTTAACCATGGGTATAAAATTCGTAGTTTTGGCCGTATCATTTTAAAATTCGGTTCATTAAATTAACCCCTTAACCTATGATTTCTTTTCTGACTATGCATATAAGCGTCAGCCATTTAATGTTTCAGTACTGTATCAAGTAACAAAAGCTAATCTGTTACAGGTTAATTACATTTAGGAATCCTTAATTTTAGAAATTAAAACGAAAGTTAGAATTACAATGAATTTTTCTTACTAATATAACTATTTTTCTCAAATCTTCGCCAGAATCTCTGCCACGAGTCTGACACGTTGTCATATGTTAAGGGGTTAAGATGGTTGAGCGTGAAGGATCAAATTAAATATTACATTAAGTTGGTACCACAAGGCTGCAATATATTTTCAAAACGCCTACAGACGCCAATAGCAATGAAAGGGTTAAGGGTCTACCAAAAAAAAAAAAAAAAAAAAACAAATTAAACTATTTTCCTTAAAACAGTATCCGACATTCGGTCCACTCTATATTTGTCTCACTTACCTAACCTTGTCAATAGACACGCAATTATCCACAATTTTCTCTCAGCGTAAACAACATCTGTTAGCCGTAAAGTGTTACGCCTGAAATCTAGCCAGGGTACAAGGGCTAAAACTAACAAACAGGCAAGCACGGGTATCTCACGGCGATTCTGTCCACTGGAATCGGTGGCACTATATTACGATCGTAGGATATCGTCTGGAGAAGTCCTCATTGTCGCCGAGTGAGATCTCCGGATTTTGTCCTTATCCTCGGACAACCGGCGAAAACTTTCACGATAAACTCGACGGGAATGTCCTCGAACCGTTCGTTCCAACCTCTGTTCCCTCTCTTCTGTTTCCAGCCCCCGTTTCTACCATCGTCCTCGTCCACGGACTTTTCCCTTCGGAAAACTGAAAACGCGATTTCCGTAATCTCGAAGAAAGTATATATAGTTACACCTCCTCCTCCCTTTGCGTCGTTTCAGATGCTAAGATATAGAGAGATGATACGGAACGCGGGAGACCAAAGGTTCGGAGGAAATATGGAGGGAGGGGCCGAAGGGTTTCGGATATCTCATGGATTCCAGGAGTAGCTGGCCCGGGGCGTTCAACCAATTAGCTAACTCCACGGTACTTCACCCTCGAAACCGCTAACGAAGAACCTGAGCGAAGAGAAGAAAATCGAGAGGATGGAGGGAAATCCAGATATTCCCCTTTTGCGGGCCTGGATTTCATCTAGCTGCGCGTGGATCTGCCCGCGGCTCTGCCCGCGACGTTACCACTGCCCTCCGAGAGGATGTGTGCCCTTCTCACTCCTACGTCGTGCCCTTCGTTGCTTGTACTCGCTCTCCTTGTTTATTTTGGTAAGCATCTCGTGATATTAACTGGCTACGGTATATATAGCGAGGTTGTGTTAGGTCGATGAGAAAATTAACGTCGGTTTTTAAACTTCATCTTTAACCCTTTGCAATCGATTGGCGACTGAGAAGCGACGTTAAATAATCGTCACATGGTAAATAATTAATCAAGACAGAGAGCAGATCTATGGGTCTCCATAAATTTCTTCACCAGAGTAAAATAGAAAATACATCGAATATTGAAGTAAAATAGTATAGTTTATACATTAGTTTGAAAAATTTTCAAAGAAGATCCGATTTGCAACCTTTCCTATAGCAAATTGATCTCCGAGTGCAAAGGGTTAAATCCGCAGATCTCGACTTACGAGGGAACTTCGGTAACCCGAAATTTTCCAAGTTTGTAGGGGACCTCGAGAGAAGTGTCGGGCAATTTTCTTTTTTTTTGGCCCTTTTTTGGTTCTTCGGGGGTGAAGACAGCCCTTGAACGAAGATAAGTGTTACCCTATTTCCCTGTATATCTTTGAAACTATAGTAGATATAGAAAAATAAGACAATGCTATTAATGAATTTTTTCTTTCATATGTTGTACAAGATACATCGACGCTGGATACAAGAATTCTTCGTACTATTTTATATTACGTTCTTCGTGATATTTTGGTAGTTCGTATTTTAGGAATTTTAGTGTTGTATTTTTCGTTACGTTGAAACAGGACATTTTACGACCGTGCTTTTGTTTCGCGTGTTTAGGTAAATCTTACATTGCACGACGTATTAACCCTTTCACCTATAACAACGAGTCAGGCTCGTGGCAGAGATTCTGGTGAAGATGTGAGAAAAATAGTTATATTAGTAAGAAGAATTAATTGTAATCCTGAACTTCGTTTTAATTTGTAAGACTGAGTGTTACTGAATGTAACTAATTTGAAACAGATTAGCTTTTGTTACTTGATACAGTACTGAAACAGCAAATGGCTGACGCTTAGATGCATAGTCAGAAAAGAAATCATAGGTTAAGGGGCTAATTCACTTTAGATGTCCATACTTTCTAAAATGTTACTTAAGAGAAACATTGACTTTCTTTAATGAGACATTTACATCGCTTTTTTATTACTTATCCTAGCTGACGTAGCACTTTTAATGTACCACATTTACTCAGAATGAACATTTTTCACGGAAGTTTATTTTAGAAACCATCGTGACAAGGCAGGAATTGAAATAACAAAGGTGGTAGGTACACGTCAAATGAGATATTGAAATTGTAAATGTTGAAATTGTATTCACACTCGATGATCCCGTGTGTAAAATCAACTTGTAAATATTTCCTAATTTTTCATAAATTCTTCACCCTATATAACATTCCTTTCTTCGATAAAATTAATAC